GAGACATATATGCCTCAGCTCTGAACCACAGAATAATTTAAGGAATAATCAAACGTAAATACAAAATCGGAAGGGAGGCTGACATAGCTTCAGGAAAGTTGGGGTCAATTTAAAGACTGATTTTGCCCTTTTTTCTGTTTCCTTGACATATAGCTGGTCAGAGTTGGCCTGATTTACAACTCCTCTTACATAGACCTAGAGGCAACTGACTATGGTATTTAACCACTGAACTTAATATGAGTTTTTGTTAAAGGTATAGACATTACCCACTTATTGCCCTGGGAGAAAATAAGTCATGTTTGTTTTTTCTTGATTTTGATTTTATTTTATTAGTGCCAACTAGACATAGAACAACATGTTAGGTGCTCTGGGATGTCCAGAAAAGGCCTCAGAAGAAATTAGAGTACCATAAAGAAGAGATGCGTAAAAATAGTCATCAGTAGGATTTTGACATCTGAAATGGGATTTTGGCAAGGTGTGGTGGCTCACACTTGTGATCCTAGCACTTTGGGAGGCTAAAGTGGCAGGATTGCTTCAGGCCAGGAGTTCAAGACTAGCCTGGACAACACAGAGAGACCCCATATCTTCAAAAAATAAAAAAATAAAAATAGCCAGGCATGGTGGCTAACACCTGTAGTCCCAGCTGCTCAGGAGGCTGAAGCAGGAGGACCACTTGAGCCCAGGAGTTCCAGGCAGCAATGAGCTATGATGGAGCCACTGCACTCCAGCCAGGGCAACAAAGTGAGATGCTGTCTCAAAATACAATAATAAAATAATGGAGTTTTTTTTTCCTCCCTTAGTTACACTCAAGAAATGCTTGTCTCCTGCTGTTGACGAATAATTTCAGAGTACTATGGATCATGCTGAAGAAAATGAAATCCTTGCAGCAACCCAGAGGTACTATGTGGAAAGGCCTATCTTTAGTCATCCGGTCCTCCAGGAAAGACTACACAAAAAGGACAAGGTTTCGGATTCCATTGGGGATAAGCTGAAACAGGCATTCACGTATGTTGTGTTTTAACCTATTTCCTTTATTGTATCATTCAGTTATGAGAGAAGCAAGGTCAAGTGTGTGAAGAAAATCTGTTTAGTGAAGTGGAGAAAAAATGGTGAGCATCCGTGATTTGCAAAGCTGTTCACAATGGTTCAGTCAGTGTTAGATACTTGATTGAACACAAACTTCATCATGTATTTCACCATGTTTATTGAATTCCTACTATGCCTTACATCTGTGTAAACAACCCACTTTTTAATTCTCCACCTCTTCTGTCTCCACTCTGTTTTTTTCCCCACCCTGACTCCTATACTCCATTTAGCAACATCTTGCATAGCCAATTGTGAATTTTTTCTTATTGTTCTTGGATATGAGGAAGGGAAAATACCTTGGTGTGAATCCTATAGAGATGTCCCTCATATAACTTTACCTCTGCTTTTCTTTGTCCTCCCAGATGTACTCCTAAAAAAATAAGAAATATCATTTATATGTTCCTACCCATAACGAAATGGTTACCAGCATACAAATTCAAGGAGTATGTGTTGGGTGACTTGGTCTCAGGCATAAGTACAGGAGTGCTTCAGCTTCCTCAAGGTTAGTAGAATATATTTCTTTCTTTTTTTGTTTTCCTTGTTACCATCTCCTCAAACAATTGACTTTGTTTCTGCTTATTTCATCATGACTATAAATTCATAGTTTTCATCATACCATTCTAGTAACCTTTACTGTCTAAAGGGATTCTTCAGAAACATTTAACCCTTAAAAAGTCCCAGGGATATCGATAGTAGAAAATGG